TATATATATATATATTTGCCTTTTTTTATTTATAAAGGAAGTGTCATCTCCCGCCTCCTCGTCTGGTACCTCCTCTGCTCCTCTTGCCCCTGTGACCTCTGCATCTGCCACTGCCACCTCTTTTTTTGTCAACTCTGCTGCTCCATCTGTGGTTGGTTTCTCAGCTCACCCTACTGCTGACATGGAGACTGCTCCTGGTTCAGAGCCTGGCTGGCTGCCTGCAAAGCTGATGGGGACCATACCACCTCAGAATCAGAAGTGGATTTAATCTGCTCTGTGGAAGAACAAGCGGCTGCGCACTGACCTGAAGCTGTGATATGATCCACCGGAGCCAGCTTTCATTTATCATCAGGCCCCCGCTCCAGAGCGTTTTTTCCCACAACTTCTCTTGTGGATGCCATACCACCTATGAAGGGTCAGGCTGTCCTGTCCTGTTTGTGGAAAACAGCTCACAGGTTATGGAGCCCACAAGAGAGCCCGCCAAATTTTGGATGTGGATAGGTACTACCTTATGATCACGGAGACTCTCTGGTGCAGTTCAGCTGGTTGTAAAACAAGTTACATTTCCACCAGCAAGACCATCTTGGACCAGCTGGATTTGGCACACAGAATGGAGTTCCGACTGATCCTGACACAAAAGTGAGTATACTGAAATTATTTAGCCTGTGTAGCGAATTTAGCTCATGGGGAAATATGAATAATTAACCATAACTAGTTATAATTAACTATTCATATTTTAGATCCACTGTAGATATTTAGCTGACCACTCAGGGTCAACTGTCTTGTCAATTCTAAGACGTTAATTTCCTGGTTAAGGGAAATAACTTTCTTACTGTACAATTCTATAAGTTTGTAACGTAAATCTGCATGATTATTGACTCCGGTTATGAGTAAACAATGAACACGTCAAGTGTGATACAAGTAAGGTTTTATTAACTACATAAACACTTAAACTAGTCTAACATACTACATAAACACATTAAGCCGGTCTAACATACACATACACACACACACACATACAGTTGGTATAGGAAAGGGTTAAAGTTTAACTCAGCATAGAAAGAGGCATAAAGAATGGATTTTATGGAACACTTTGCATGTATATTCAACAGATCAAAGCCTTCAGGGATACGTCAGATTCTGAGTTCAAACACACCTTTGTAAAAAGGTGTAACTGATACTTAATGTATCAATTAATAAGACTAAGTTTGATACTTAGCGAGTCTCGGCGGTCTGAAAGAGATTCCTGATGCAAATCTTAAAGCTTCCCGTAGATCTTTGCTGAATTCGGGTCGATGAGAAGAACCAGTTTGAGTCAGTGTTACTTGATGAATGGAAAGGACTAGGCCGAAGAAAGGCCTGGCACAGATGCTTTGTATCCTGAAGCGTTTTTCTCACATCATCTTTGCTTCTGACTGAATCACCGACTGGGGCGGGTCCCTGGAGCCGGGCCTTTAAGGTCGGAGAAGATCTCCGCCTTTCAAGATGGGCTTGTCCAATGAGCAAAATGGAATTTCCGAGCGGGAGGTGGTAATTGCTGGAGGGTTTACGCCCCTTTGTTCTCTAAGCATGGTAATTTGCAAATGGACAAATTATTAAATTATTAACGATTCTCAGGGCCCTAATATATATTGCCTGTGTACCACCATATAATATACACGCTTGTTTAGAAGGCAAATAGGCAAATTCATAGATACTAAACAAGGTAAGATTACATATAGTGAAAAGGGAGGATCAGGAATGGGTCCTCTCACAAGCATACTAAAATAGTCTAAGAATATCAAAGACAAAATACACAATGACAATAATATACTCAATGGCCTGAAGAAATATGTGTGTTCATTCAAATAACGGTTTTTCTATGAATTAACTAGAACACAGTCCATTTCTACTCTGCTTTTCCTTGGGACAAGCAGGGATTTTCCCTGCTTTACATACTTTTGGCCAATAAACCCAGTGATATCAGCGTTGGTTGCCATGCAACAAAGTGGCCTGTTCGACTTCCTGGGGTGTTACGCATTCCGGGGGGAAGGGTCCATGGGTCCTCATATGGCTTGTTAACTGAGGTTACAGAGTATTTGTCATATAAAAAGAGAATATATAGTGTGTATTATTACACACAGATGCTACAATTCATTACATTTATATAGCACTTTTCTAGGCACTCAAAGCATTTTACACTGTCAGGGGGTATCTCCTCATCCACCACCAGTGTGCAGCATCCACCTGGATGTTGCGACGGCAGCCATAGTGCGCCAAAACGCCCACCACACACTAGCTTACTGGTGAAGAGGAGACCGAGTGATGAAGCCAATCAGTAGATACGGGGATTGTTAGGAGGCCATGATGATCAGAGGCCAATGGGCAAAATTGGTCAGGATGCCGAGGTCACACCTCTACTCTTTTCGAAAGACATCCTGGGATTTTTAATGACCACAGAGTGTCAGGACCTCGGTTTAACGTCTCATCCGAAGGAAGGTGCTTGTTGACAGTATAGTGTCCCCGTCACTACACTGGGGCATTAGGACCCACACAGAATTATTTCTGAAGGATCATATGACACTGAAGACTGGAGTAATGAGGCTGAAAATTCAGATTGCACCACAGGAATAAGTTTCATTTTATAATATACTCACATAGAGAACATATTTTGAATTGTAATAATATTTCATTTTTTTTACTGTATTTTTTAATAAAATAAAATACAAACTTGTTGAGCAGAAGATACTTCTTTCAGAAACATTTAGATTTTTACTGACCCCAAACTCTTGAATAGTAGTGTATTTATTTTAAGATAATGTACTGCAAAGTTTAGGCCACAATCATCAGAAAATCATGTACTGATGTGTCAAGTGTGTTAATTTGTCACGTCCAGCCGGGTTTCATTCTTACCTGTGCATGTGAAGAATTTAGACTCTCCAACACTCAGTTCCACTTTATTGAGTGATATTGACACCTGAAGCACCGCTATAACAGAAAGAGAGAAACACAGTCAAGTCACATTTTTAAATATATATAGCACTTTATACAATACAGATTGTTTCCAAACAGCTTCTCAGTGATAAACAAGAAAAATAACAGTGTTAATGTTATATAATTAATCAATATCATCAAAGTCTGAATGCAGGGCAGACATCATTTTACAACTCTTCTTTATAATCTTACTGCATGACAGTCATTTCTGCAATTTTTACTCCCAGTGAACTATATAAAAATCTGAGACAAACTTCACATTCAAATTAAACATGACTTTTGTTTTCTGAGCTTAAGAAAGAGCAGTTTTCTATAATATTTAAAAAAATACAAATAATATGAATACCATAGCTGAATGATTTGCTAAATGAAATCCAATACTTGTTCCTTACAATTTTTTTAATTACTATACAATTTCCATGCATATGGATTACACAGGTTTAACATAAATCAATCAATCCATCCATCCATCCATCCATAAATAAATAAATACATATATACATAAATTGTGTATATGTATATATATATATAATTCACAATTTCTGTAATTGCATTAACAAACTGACTGCTTTAATCACACAACAACCAGGTTTATATATTTATCCATCAATAAATCAAATTTGTTTCAATCCCACACATCGAATATTGTTTGTTTTACAGCCATATGCTCATACTTTTTAACTGAATTAATGTAATTGTTTTCACAATGAACACATTTATTCTGATTCTACAGAATGTGAATAAATACATTTTGAAAATATGAATAATCAAAAAGATGTAAATATGAATAATAAATTATGCCATGATTTGTTTGATTGCAAAAATTGTACTTGTTACTTATATACATGATGCATCACATTAAGCTTATTAATTTGTGTTAAAACTGTGTAATCCAAAAGAGTGGAAATTTTATATGCAACTCAATAAATAAACATATATATAAATATATATATATATATGTTGCAGTTTCTCCGAGGAGGGAAATAAGGCAGTGCCTCCTCAAAATTTTGGATGAGAAAAAATTTTGTAGTACAAAAATAAAACACCTTGTCAAACATTGTCCAACAGCGACACCAGAAGGTAAAATTACAGTGGGTATCTGTGTCTCTCTCGCCTCCGCTGAGCCCGTTGAGTTTTAATAACTATAACAACTATAACAACTCAAGAATAGAATTTCTTCCAAAGCTTAATTTTTTAGCAGACTGAAGCAGATTATTTTGTAGTATTTCCCTATATTTTGCTCTAACCATTCTTCCTTCAATTCTAACAAGATGCACGGTCCCTGATGATGAGAAGCATCCCCACAGCATGATGCTGCCACCACCACACTTCACTGTAGGGATGGTGTTTTGAGGCATAAGAAGTGTTAGGTTTGCGCTACACATAGCGCTTTGAGTTTTGGACAAAAAAAGCTCTATCTTGGTCTTATCTGACCACAAATTGCAGCTGGGTCACTCTCATGCTTTTTGGCAAAATCCAGACATGCTTTCAGATGGTATTTTTTGAGTAACGGCTTCTTTCTTGCCACCCTCCCATGCAGGCCAGAATTATGCAGTGCTTTTGATATGGTTGACTGGTACACCATTTCTCCACTTGCAGCAGTTGAACTTTGTGACTCTTTCAACGTGATCGTGGGCCTCTCAGTGGCTTTTCTCACAAGCCTTCTTTTTTTGTTCAAATGCTGAGTTTTGAGGGACAGACTTTTCTTGGCAGTGACTGGGTGGTGTGGTGAACCTTCCACTTCCTGATTATTGATCCAACTGTGCTGACTGGGATATCTAAACATTTGGATATTATTTTGTACCCTTTCCCTAATCTATACATTTTTATTATTTTATTTCTAACATCTGTGGAATGCTGTTGGGTCTTCTTTTTCCTTCACATACACAGCCTGGCCACTGATCCTTTAACGGTGGGTTATTCATCCCGAAATAGTGATTGCTTGTTTAACTACTCACAGGAGGATGCCAATGGTAAAGTAATTGTGTTCTTGTTAAGGACATTTATTTCATCTTTATAACCTGGCAGCTTCCATTGAATACTTATGCAAGCAAGATACTTATTTTTATTTTTCCTAAACATAGTTCCTGACAAAAACACAATGTCACCTTCCAATAATTGATTTTGAGTTTCAGTGTTTTAAAATAAAATTGTAGCCATTTAAGAAAGTGTATTTTTATTTTATATTATTTATGTTTAAATAGTATTTGTTTGTGTTTTTGATTAGTTCAATTTGTTAATTAAGAAAGAAAATTGTAAACGTCATAAGGGCGTGGCAAATCGGACGGCAGTACGCCGGAAGAAAGGAAGTGGGTCAGACATAATTAAAATTGTCTTTTTTTTTTTTTTAAAGATGCGTGTATAAAAGCAGCTTTAATCGTTCGGATTTAGCTTTAAAAAATTAAAATGCAGCATGCATCGACAGAAAAGCAGCCTATAGATGGCAGTGCTGCGACAGCAACGATTCCTCCACAGTCGCTGTGCAAATCTTTAACACATCAAGTGCACGGCTGATTTATTCCTCTCAGGGATGTGGGTGGAGAGGAACCAGCCTGTCCTTTTATTGTTGGCCTGTTGTAGTTTTTCGTGCTCCAACCGCAGCTTGTCTCCTCAGACTCGGCTAACTGCTGCATGTCTGGCGAGAACGTCTAATTTGGGAAGCTATGGGCTGATTAATGACCAAAGCGTGGCCCTGAACTCCGCAATTAGAGACTACTGCTGGCACAGGACTGACTTTGATGGTTGCCACCTGAGGTGGAAAGGAAATGTCACTAGAGCCATAAGAGGCAAACGTGTGTGTGTGTGCATTCTCTAGCTTTAGTCACAGAGCTTATTTTGCATTTAAAAGCTGAAAAGTAAAATTCTGTCATCATTTATTCACCCGCAGGTAGTTCCAAAACTAAACTGTGGAGCACAAAAGAAGATGTGGGCGACTAAATGGTGACAGAATTATCGTTTTGTGCAAAATTGAAAGTGTTCGGAGTGTAACTGAAGACTGGAAGTAAATTAATGGTCCAGATGCTGTTCTGAGGAAATAAAAAACAACACGGAGCTTGTTTGTAGGACTAATCAGATTAGTGCGTTCATTCACGGTCGTTTGGCAGGTGTGAAAATTAATCTGAAATCATGCCCACGCAAAATAATAAAACACAATGTGCGAGTCATTAAACTCCAAAAGTTACCGTGACATAATGCACATAAACAATGTTTCTAACAAGCTCAAGACAACTTAGCAGAACAAACTTCACAAATAAATGAGTGTTTACTGTGAGTGCACGTTGCTAAGATCTGCCATCGACGATTACTTTTATGCCCTCTACTGTGTGATTTCAGCGATCTTATAAGATCATTACAAATCCCACTGTGAGACATGGATGCAGATTGAAGGATGATGACACCTATTTATTCATAGGCTACATAGATATGCCCTGTTAGCGGCTGTTTCTATGGGCCACTAAACTAAGCTGTCCGCCATATTGGAATGGTCAAAGCAGGTCCTTGAACACTCGAGAGCAAGTTGCCTGAATGACTGCAGCCCTTTGTATGCATGTATGAATATCTTTATCTGCAATAGACTTAAGCAGATAATTTTGCTAAACTAACACAATACAACAAGGTACTACAAGCTTAAATACCTGTAATATTGAGTTAATACATATTGAAAACACAGACCAACACATTCCTACCTGTGAAAGTTTATCCAATTTCTTTAGGAATTAAATTTTAAAACCAGAGGCTGCGCAATGTTGTGGCATCTTGAAACGTATTGATTTTTATTGTGAGTGATGACACATTGACTGTTCCAAGATGGTGGAAAAATCGACGTGTCTGGAGTGGTCGAATGTGGAATCTACCTATCCATATCTATGGTAGGCTATGGTTATTATAGAATAATAAAATGTCATCAGCACGCGTACTTGGTAAACAAAAAGAGCAAGATGAAACGCGTTTTGGCAATTGTGGTTTTTATGTGTACTGAAAAAAGGCCAATAAATTACTTATTGGAATCCAACATACCGGTACTCCTTTTAGCTATTTTCGCTTCCATGGCATTTATGTTTTAGCTGCCTTTTTGTGTTGATCAATATATAATTTCATGTAGAATTTTTATTGGCTAGTCTGTAGACAGCAAACACACTGTGAGATGGTTATCCTAAATTTCTGACACTGCCAGAAAATTATCGCAGGCTATCTTTGGTCTCAAGACCGTCACAACGGCCATCTTTGAACCTCTCTCACAGTATGATGTAGGACCACCATTTAGGATCCACGACAAAATAAATAATCGTGACTGTTTTTCCACGATGGTCATCTTTCGTCTGGGATAGCCCAAAATCGTACAATGTATACCAGGCGTTAGACGAGCTTCACACAACACCACGTGAGTATGCTTTTTTATGTTTTTTTAACAAAGTCTCTTCTGCTCCCCAAGGCTGCATTTATTTGATTAAAATACAGCAATATTATGAAATATTATTACAAATCAAAATAACCGCGTTCTATGTGTATATCTTTTAAAATGTAATTTATTCCTGTGATCAAAGCTGCATTTTCAGCATCATTGCTACAGACTTCAGTGTCACATAATCATTCAGAAATTATTTTAATATGCGGATTTGCTACTCAAGAAACATTTCTGATCATTATCAGTGTTGTTCTGCTTCATATTTTTGTGGAAGACATGATATATTTTATTTTTCAGGATATTTTATGATAGTTCCAGAATAGCATTTATTTGAAATATTATTTTTGGTAACAAAATAAATGTCTTTACAGTCACTTTTAATCACAATATTTCAGTTTTTACTGTGTTTTTGATCAAAAACATGCAGCCTTAATGAGCAGAAGAAACTTCTTTCAAAATTCTTCAATAACCTTCAACTAACCATGGGACATGCCGAGGGGCAAATGACACTCGCGCTGTAATTGACTGTGGTTTGACAGAGATATTCCAAGGGCCACACAAGTCTCTGCAGACATACAGCGGGTTAACG